ACTAAATGCAGGCTAAGAAAGCCTTTCCCGCTGAAGCTTGAGAAAGCTGAAATTCTGGTAGTGTTCCACATTGAGGGGATGCCACCTGAATTGCCTACTGAGTTCTGAGCAGACTAGTTCTTGTCAACAGTACTCCACATGCTGTTAACAAAGCCAGCTTCCATCTTATTACACTTAGTTTCCTGAATCATGTAGATATCAGCTTTGCCTCTCATGAGAACTTGGGATATTCTCCTTCTTTTCACGGAACTACAACATCTTCTTGCGTTGAAGGTAACAATATTCATGGATCACCTCTAGCTACAACCTTCTTATTAAGAACAACCTCTTGATCTTCCATGTCCAGCTTCCTCAAGATAAGCCCAAAGTTCTCTTCGTCTTCGCATTGAAAACCCAAAGCGTTAATGTAATTGCCCAAAGTAGATGGTATTTCTTCAATAGCTTTCCTGCGTCTCGAATTGCCTCTTTCCACGTCGGCGTCTGTAATCGATTCACAGCATAATAAACTGGATCCTGGACAATCTCTGGCCAACTTGCCCTTCTTTCTTTCCTTCTTATCCTTAATCTTCGGTTCAGGTTGAGAGATGTTCGTAGGAGCAGAGTGGAGCAGAGTTGAGAAATACGAGTGGGTGTAGGGTATCTTAATGCTGTTATAAACCTCATGGAGTAATTTTTTCTTTTTAACTTTCCCTTTAGAAGCAGGCCCAGAACCTCCACCAGGAAGCCCACAAAAAGGAGGATGCAAGCCCGAATCAACCTCTAAATCCCCGTTACAATCTACCTCTGCTACTTTAGATTTACAAGAATCCGAAGCATCCTCAACAGGAACGGGTAGAGTTCCTCTAGAAATAACCAGACCTGCAGGATTCACGAAGGAAACCTCTCTATTCCCTACACCTTTTACAACAAGGTCTGTGCTTTCCTTAACAGCAGATACACTATCTGAAACAGACAGATTAAAATCAACCTTTAGAGCTTCAGGGTGAGGAGTTCTAACTTCTGTCTGGGGAACAGAAGGAATGTTATCTACGCTCTCTTCCTCCTCGTGAAATTCCCAATCAGCATTGAGTTCAGATGGAGTTGTGGATTCTATTTCATCTGAGTCTATCAACTCATCAACTTCACCAGATAAGGGATCTCCTAATCCAGACGAGAATTCTTCAGAAATAGAGACGGAGAAGGAATGATTACTAACGACAATATCAACCTTAAAATTCAGAATAGCCCTAAGACTTGTTTTAATCAGGATTCTAGCTATATCCATGCTCTCTTTGATCCACGTCTTCTCGTCGCATTTGACATAAGAACCCAGTTTAGAGGATATCAATCTGAAATTATTCTCATTCCAGGCAACACAGGGTAAACCAAAGCACCTAATCCACACTAATCTGTCTCTGTCTATATCCTCCAAATTCCAAGTTCGAATGTCTTTGAACCAAATGTCCACCCAATCACTAGCTTCTTTGATGAAAATCTCCAAGTCACCTCCAGAGGTATCTTCTAACAGACACAAAGAAACTCCCAAAGGGGTAGCCTTAATACTAAAAAAACCTTCTTCATACAAAAGCTTCTGAATATGGAAAGCATTTCCATCTTCCTAAACAGTTCCCACTCTCATAAGATTCAGTCTCCTTAGCCACTCATCTTCCACCTCTAGAATTGTGGGTTGAGCAACTCCCTTTGCAGCAACCTCTGCATTAGGATAATCTCCTTTTACCACTCTGGCAAAGGACCTAAGCATTTTGACAGGTTTCTTAAGAATCCCATGTTGAACATGTTGAGTTTTCGTCCTCAGGACTTTGCTGCCAGGATTAATCCTCTTGTTCTCCTTACTAAACCTGGGGATATTCACAAAAATCTTCTTGCATTCCAGTACAATGCTATCAAGGTTACATGCCAGAATACGAGGGTCATGTACCTTTCGAAATTTTGCGAAGCCGAATCTGTTTCCTCGCTTATCCCTCTTAGCGGAGATGAAAACTTCTGAGATTACTCCGTAGACCTTGAAGACCTCAAACAGATCTTTAGCATTCAACTTTTCTGGGAATGCAGTAACAAAGAAGGAAGTCGTATTATCACCATTAATATCTCCCTTACCTCTATTCTCCTTCCAAACAGAGAAACCACCATGAAATCGTTTCCTAGCATTCCTAGCGACCTTCTCCCAGACCATGATAGGACCGCAGTTGAATCCAGGAAAATCAGGTGGTTACCAAGGCCCCTAAACTTGAAAGCTAGGAATTTAAGCCGAAGATAACCTCCTAACCTTCGAAGGATCGAAACAAGCAGCTACAAATCTGGATAAAAATAAGGAACGGGGGATGGATTTAGGAGAAGAATTATGAAATTGGGGTTAGGGTTAGGGATTGGGGGTTTTTCCTGTCCATTCTTCTTTAGTCTTATTTCTTATCTACTTAATAGCAATGTTGTTGATTGAACACATATGTCTTCTAGTATCCATTTCTAACTTCCTTTTTTCATCTTCTTATTTTACAGTTTCTTTTATATTATTCTTCATCTTTTTTTTCTTCTCTCTCATTACTCTTGCCACTATCAAAAAAATGCATGGTGGTTTTTAGATTTTCTCTTATTATCCCTCTGTTGTCATCCAAACTTAGAAGAAGAAAAAGTACATGGTGGATTTTAGACTTTTATTTCCTTTTTATATTTTGAGATTCATTGAAGCGTTACTACAAAAAACACATACAATCATAATTGAAAAAGATATATAATCATAGAGGACCAACCATTGTTTTTTTTATAAGCAGAAATATATTAATGGAGATTAAGAAAATCTCTGAATAAACAAGAGTACAACCACAACCTAAAATAGGACTATTACATAAAATCGAACGGGAATTTAAACCATTCATACAAGCTACAATGATTACTTTCATGTCTACCTAATATCAACCAATTCCACGAGATAACTTTAATATCCGTAACAATGTCCTCAACGTCAATGGTTTCATTTCTGAAAAAGATGTTATTTCTAGCCCTCTATATACTCCAGCAAGAGATGAACCAAATTGAGTTAATCTTGTCCTCTTTTCAACGGCCCAGAAGTCTCGATTTCCAGACCTTCGCATGGAGACTACAACAATCCTCCGAGATGTTCTCTATATCTACCCAGTCGCAAATCCTATTCCACACCAACGGTGATTTAGAGCACGAGAAGAAGAGATGTGGAACATCCTCGTAGCTTGATGAACAAAACACACAATCCGAATTTTGGGAGAAATTGATCACCCTTCCTCTCATCAAATTAGATCTGGTAGGCAGCCTATCGAGTGCCAACCTCCAGATAAAAGTTTGGACTTTTGACAGTAAAACCGTTTTCCAAAGGACCAACCATTATTAAATAACGTGTGATTGTATATGTGTTATTTATAATCAAGGTCTAGTGCGTATTTTAAAAATCTAGATTGTGCGTGTTTTAGAAAACTAGACTGTGCGCTACCTATCAAGATTGTGATACATAACTGTTGTGAAAAGTTTAAAGGTCCTTGGTTCGATTTCAATCAACTTCATTTTTGGGATATAATTATTCTGGATAACGTTCAACATATAACAATGGTTGGATTTAGCAACCATTGTGAAATCACTTGTTTCTTTTTATATATTTATGCCTTTATACATTTTTCCATTTTTAAATGTATTTTTGTGAATTTTATCAGATTAGAAACAACAACACACATTTCTGAATCACGTCATACTAAAAATTGTGTTACATCAAATCCAAAAATTGTATATTACATCAAAACTAAAGTGGCACAAAACAACCTACAAGTTACCCATCATTACCTCAAATAACTGTATCTTGGTGTTTTGATTTCTTGTCACTTAGTGTCTTGACTTTAAACATCTATAATTTTAAATAATGATATTTATTAGTAAACTAGCGTTCAGACGGGTACTCCGGTGCCCGTCTGTCCTCTTTTTTTAATGCGCCCAGCATAGAAAAATAAATGTGTGTATATTTTGTTTGAAGTTTTTATCATACTTAAGATTAATTAAATGCATTTGTTTTTAGATATCCTCAAGCAGTCATAAAATCAGGATGATAAATGTAAATATTGAATTTGATTTCTTGTCACTTAGTGTCTTGACTTTAAACACCTATAATTTTAAATAATGATACTTATTAGTAAATAAACTAAAAAATTATAACCTAAAAAAAACTTATGAATACAAAATAATATATATACTTGTTCATTTTTAATTACTTCCGATACATTTCAATGTAAACACCGAAAATTTTAAAATTTTAATTATATATTTCAATGAAAATATCGCAAATTTTAAAATTTCAGGTACGAAATATCAGAAATTTTAAAAAATTCAGATATAAACACTCATTGTTTTTGAAATTTTTGATAATTGCACGAAATTTCAGATATCACTCCAAAGATTTGAAAACTTCACCCAATACTGTAAATTTTAAAATTTTAAAAAATGAATTTGCAAGAGCAGAGTCGTCTTCTACGAATTGGGTCTAAGATTTCAAGAAAAAGGGAGCTAGTTTATGTGTTATTGGTTTGGTTAAATTGGATGTGTAAAAAGAATTGCAAAATTAGTAAATAGAAATTAATCTCTTTAATATTACTATTTTAAATTGCAGAAAAAGATCAATCAACAACAAAAAAAAACCATTAAGTATGTTGAGAAGTCTTCTTGCCTGACTAGCAATTTGTGTGTGAACCTAATCTATTTTGGCATTGGGTGAAAAAAGTGGGGTATATTGAATTATTTTAATAAGAAAAAATCAACTAACATGTTATTGCTAAGAAGCTTGGAAGAAGCAGACTTGAAGTTGCAGGAAATTTATTAATATTAAATAAAAAGTTGTTCACATCACACCTCAATATTACTCCCTCTTCTTTCTTTCCTTCCTTCCACTGCAGTAACACTTATATGTATATATACTCTCTCTTCTTCTTTCCTTCCTTCCACTGCAGTAGCAATAATCTATCTATCCTCTAACAATTTTGCTTATTCAGATGGCCAGCACTAGAAGTAATAATAGTATCATCAGAAGCGGCAGCAACACCTCTTCATCAACAAGGAGAAATTACTATGACGTGTTTGTAAGCTTTAGAGGTACAGATACTCGCCTCAATTTCACTGATCATCTTTTTGGAGCCCTCCAAAGAAAAGGTATTTTTGCATTCAGGGATGACACTAAGCTCAATAAAGGTGAATCCATAGCACCTGAGCTCCTTCAAGCAATTGAAGACTCTAGGATTTTCATAGTGGTATTCTCTAAGAACTATGCTTCCTCAACTTGGTGCTTGAGAGAATTGGAACACATCCTTCTTCACTGTGGTCAACTACTGGAAAAACGTGTTTTGCCTGTTTTCTATGATGTTGATCCTTCTGAGGTGAGACATCAAAAACAAACTTACGGCGAAGCCTTCGCTATACACGAACAAAGATTCCAACAAGACTTTGAGAAGGTGATAAGATGGAGGGCAGCTCTAGCACAAGTTGCAGATCTCTCTGGCTGGGATGTACGTCATAAGTAAGTAATCTTCCTTATCGGTAGTATATAAAAGTGATGCTTTATTTTTGCAAAGTTTAAAGCTATGATATGTTAATTTAGTAATGAATCTGAAAGCCCCTTACAAACCTTTTAATTTAAACAAATAAGTTTTTTCTAAATGGAAAAAAAAGAAGAAAAAAAAACTGTATTATACAAATGGGCTTTTTTTGTTTTAATTATGGTATGTGATGATTTGGTGTTGTTGGTGAACTGTCTCAAACTTGCAGGCCACAATATGCAGAAATTGAAAAGATTGTTGAAGAGGTTATAAATATATCAACAAGGGGAAATTATTTTGATGTGTTTGTGAGCTTTAGAGGTGAAGATACTCGCTACAATTTCACTGATCATCTTTTTGCAGCTCTCCAAAGAAAAAGTATTTCTGCATTCGGGGATGACACTAAAGTCAACAAAGGTGAATCCATAGCACCTGAGGTTCTTCGAGCAATCGAATACTCTCGGATTTTCATAGTGGTTTTCTCTAAGAACTATGCTTCCTCAACTTGGTGCTTGATAGAATTGGAATGCATTCTTGAACGCGCTCAAGCATATGGAAAACGAGTTCTGCCTGTTTTCTATGATGTTGGTCCTTCTGACGTGAGACGTCAAAAAGGACCTTATGGCGATGCCTTAGCTAATCATGAACAAAGATTCCAACAAGACTCTGAGATGGTGGAAAGATGGAGGGCAGCTCTAACACAAGTTGCAAATTTCTCTGGCTGGGATGTACGTGATAAGTAAGTAATCTTCCTTATTGATACGTTAATTTAGTAATCAATCAAAATTCCCCTTACAAACCTTTTAATTTAAACAAAAGAGTTTTTTTCTAAATGGTAAAAAAAACTCTATTATGAAAACGGGTCATTTTTTGTTTTGGTTATGGTATGTGATGATTTGTTGGTTAACTGTCTTAAACTTGCAGGCCACAACATGCAGAGATTGAAAACATTGTTGAAGAGGTTCATAAATATATTAGATTGCAAATGCACCGAGACCTAAATTAGGACTAAGTATTTTAAATTTGGTAATTACCTTTTGGTGGGTTACTGATCAGTGCATTTTAATGTACCTTCCTCTATGTTTAGACTTAGGCATTTCTACCATTTAGTTTATTTAATTTCCTATTTTATAATGTTTTTACAATTTATTTTATTTTAAGCTTTATTTAATTTTCGTTTGTTATTTTTCAGCATTAATAGCTTTTAGTGAAAAATTCATAACTGGAGTTACAGGAATCGGATTGAGGCATTCTACCAGTAGTTGGAAAGCTAAGAAAGAGATCTATAACTTTCATGTTGCACAAAGGAGCTGATTCGGATTTCTTGAGTCTCGAATAATTCGTTGAAGTTTCTGACTTGTGACAATGTAGTTTTCCTTGCGGGCCTAGTTTAGGTTTCTGGCCCAGTTATTTTCTATTTAAAGTTGTTGTTGTGATGCAAAACGGGGACCTAGTTTATTTTTCAAAATTTTTTCCTTTGTTTTATAGTTTTCATGGAGAACTAATACCTCCGGGCAAATCCTGCTGTGTACGGTTTCAACACTTTGAGGTTATTATTATGTCAATTTACTCCGATTCCTTTCAATCCTTTTCTATGAAGTCATCTGCTTAATTTGATTACAATTGTTTGCTTAATTCAATTGTTGTTCATAGGATAGAATTGGTTAAATTCGATTGTATGCATGTTCCTAAATTTAATTGCGTATTATCGTTTGCTTAATTCGTTAATTCGTCATATTCTTAACCGTTTGCTTAATTCGGTAAACAGGAACATAATTCATTTGATGTTGATAAGCGCTTGTCTGATTAATATCATAATCGAATAGGATTGGTACCGCTTAGGGATTGATGTTATAATAACCAATGATAAGTCGGAACCCGAATCAGTAGGATTAGCCGTTTTAGTTTATCTGATAATCACTTTTTTTAATCATTTTTTCCTCTTATTTTATAAATCAAAACTTAAAACCCCCATAAACATTTTCTTTAGTTGGTTGAAATAATACAAGAATCCTTGTGAGAACGATATTTCGAGTCATTTGTCGCTATATTACATTTTTATCAAAACTACTCGTTTTTGATCCGCGAGCGACCGCGGATCAAATTGGCGCCGTTGCCGGGGATTCTTATTAATTTTAGCCAAATGTAAAATTTTAATTTTAGAGTTTTTGTTTTTTTTGTTTTTTGTTTTTTGTTTTTGTGTGTAAATTTTCAGGGTTGCAGTACAGTGGTAAGCGTTTCAGCCTATCAGGTGAGTTTGTAAGCTATTGTTCCGATTTGCTCCAAATTTTTTCCAGAAAATCAGAAATAAATCGTTTAACAATACTCATTTAGAATAGAGTTCTAAAAGATTTTGACCCTGAAAATCGGAAATTAGTTATTTTTCTATTTTATTTTATTTTTTTTCTATTTTCATATTTTCAAAAAAATCCGAAATTTTTTTTATTGACTCATTTTGATTTTATTTGATTTTTAGTTATATTTTTATAATTTTTAGATTTAATTTTATTCGGTTTTCTATTTTTCCATTCTTTTTCTTAACGGGGACATTGTTGGTATTTTTCTAATTGTTGCTGCATTGCCGAATTTGTTCTTTGTTTTATTTTCTTTGTTGATTTTCCTATTAAATTTAATATGACAAATCAAATAACTCTTAGAGAACTTGTTGCCTATGATACGAACTATAATGCTTTATGTATGGAATATCCTGTTGTTAGTGTACCTTTCGAATTGGAATCTGATTTAATACACTTGTTGCCAAGGCTTAATGGACTTGCAGGTGAGGATCCGAATAAGCATATGAATGAATTCCAAATTGTATGCTCTACACCTTCTGAACCTTCATTAGAGGACCTTGTCAAGCAAATGGCTATAAATGATCTTCAGTTTCAGCAACAAACAGATTCAAGTCTTCAGGCTCTGCAGACACAAATTGAACAGTTTGCCACTATACTGAATGCCATGCAACAAGCTCAAGAATCAAACCAACTATCTGCCCAAACAGTAGTGAATCCAAAAGAGTTACCATCTGATTTAGTTGATGATATTCATCCTGAGTTGTTATCTGATTTTCCATCTTTATTAGATTATGATGATACTTACTCTTGTGATTCATGTACCGACACTAACATTTGTTCTGTTTGTGCTGAGATTAATGCTGTCGTACAGGGTGATGTTTTTCATGCAGATGAAGTTGTTTATGTAGCTAAAACTCTTAACATCACGGCTGCCCCAACCTCACCATCCATTGAACAACCTTCCCCCTTGGAGCTTAAACCACTTCATACCAATCTGAATTATGCTTATTCAGATATGGATAAAAAGCTTCCAGTTATAATTTCTTCTAACCTTGATTTTGATGAAGATAATAAACTTTTACAGGTTTTGAAGAAACATAAGAAGAGAATTGGATGGACCTCGATGGAAGTGGGAAGAAAAGCAATGAAGCAACCCCTTAACCCATTGATCTCTGATGTTGTGGAAAAGGATATCAAATTCACATGTCCATTCGACACTTTTATTTATCGAAGATTCTTCTTTGATCCTGGAATAAAAGGCGAAGACACTAATACAAATTTCAAGGGCGATGGATGCTATCCAAAGTTACTCCCCACTTTGGAAGAGGAGACGGCAGGAAATCTCTCTTTGGGAAAGGATGCATATGTGATCACTTATCCACCTTGACTCCTCGGGTGTGTTCCTTCCTTTCTCTCACTCTTATTTTATATTTATGTTCTTTCGTTGAGGACAATGTATGCTTTAAGTGTGGGGGAGGGAACCATTTACTTTGTTTTATTTCTTTCAATTTTCTTTGTTTTGTTTTCATTTAATATAAAAATTGTTTACTCAGAAAAACACAATGCATTTTTTGAAATTTTTGGGTTGTAGATCGATTGGAGGTCAGATTGTAGAGACTTGAGAAAAATTCATAAGATCGGTATCGTTTTAACACCTTGAGTCTCCAAAATATGGAAATCGATTTAGATACTTGTTATGGCTTAGTCTTGAGTTCTCGTTCTTTAATAGCTCTTAAGTAGTTTATCTAGCAGTCAGCACCATCTAAAAATCACATGCTAAGTAATTGAGCTGATGCAAATAAGTGAATGATCCCGTGCTTAATAAGAAGAAAAAAAAGAGAAAAAGAAAAAGACAAAAAGTGAAAAAAAGAAAGAAAAGAAAAGACAAAGAAAAATGTCTAATTATGAATTGTTGAAAAAAATATGGATCACAGTCACTAACAAGCTTAGTTACCATGCGTGTGAATAGATAAAGGGCTTAATGTGATTGCACTAGAATGAAAGAGAGCAAAAAGGAGGATGAGTAAGTTAGACTTAGGCATAACGACATGATTTGGATTGGTTTGTATAGGAGGGAGTCTTATGATCGCAAAATTATGGATTTGTGTTCTTACGATATCCTTAGTATGCAAAAGTAGTACCTATCAATGCAATCTTGACCAAAGACGAGTTCACAGCCTAGATTGAATAGCTGAATGTTTTTGTGTTTCATGAGTTTTGACAATACTTTGCTCGGAGTGCAAAAGTTCATGTGTGGGGGAATTTGATCAGTGCATTTTAATGTACCTTCCTCTATGTTTAGACTTAGGCATTTCTACCATTTAGTTTATTTAATTTCCTATTTTATAATGTTTTTACAATTTATTTTATTTTAAGCTTTATTTAATTTTCGTTTGTTATTTTTCAGCATTAATAGCTTTTAGTGAAAAATTCATAACTGGAGTTACAGGAATCGGATTGAGGCATTCTACCAGTCGTTGGAAAGCTAAGAAAGAGATCTACAACTTTCATGTTGCACAAAGGAGCTGATTCGGATTTCTTGAGTCTCGAATAATTCGTTGAAGTTTCTGACTTGTGACAATGTAGTTTTCCTTGCGGGCCTAGTTTAGGTTTCTGGCCCAGTTATTTTCTATTTAAAGTTGTTGTTGTGATGCAAAACGGGGACCTAGTTTATTTTTCAAAATTTTTTCCTTTGTTTTATAGTTTTCATGGAGAACTAATACCTCCGGGCAAATCCTGCTGTGTACGGTTTCAACACTTTGAGGTTATTATTATGTCAATTTACTCTGATTCCTTTCAATCCTTTTCTATGAAGTCATCTGCTTAATTTGATTACAATTGTTTGCTTAATTCAATTGTTGTTCATAGGATAGAATTGGTTAAATTCGATTGTATGCATGTTCCTAAATTTAATTGCGTATTATCGTTTGCTTAATTCGTTAATTCGTCATATTCTTAACCGTTTGCTTAATTCGGTAAACAGGAACATAATTCATTTGATGTTGATAAGCGCTTGTCTGATTAATATCATAATCGAATAGGATTGGTACCGCTTAGGGATTGATGTTATAATAACCAATGATAAGTCGGAACCCGAATCAGTAGGATTAGCCGTTTTAGTTTATCTGATAATCACTTTTTTTAATCATTTTTTCCTCTTATTTTATAAATCAAAACTTAAAACCCCCATAAACATTTTCTTTAGTTGGTTGAAATAATACAAGAATCCTTGTGAGAACGATATTTCGAGTCATTTGTCGCTATATTACATTTTTATCAAAACTACTCGTTTTTGATCCGCGAGCGACCGCGGATCAGTTACCATCATTCAAATAATTCTTGAAAGTTAAAAAGATCTTTATTTGGATCATATCAGATCACATGTGCCTAATCTATTTCTCTCTGGAATCGTTGTTTTATACTCTGGTGCCTATTATTTGATTTTTTGTATTATCTATATCTTTAAATATTTTGATGTCACATATGAAAGAAAAGCACATGGAGTGAGTCAAAAAATAAACTGTGAAAATTTGGAAGAGGAGAGTGAGCGTATTTTATATGCAATAAAACTATCTCCTCACATGTGACCCTTGTGCTTTTTTGAAAAGTACAAGAATTAAAATTGAGAGACACTAGTAGTGAATTGTTATTATAAATAGAGATCAACCAAAACACATTTATAGTTAAAAACACTGGTCAGAAGTTTCTC